ATGTTCAATGGGTCAATCGATGCTTCGGACAAGACACGATTGGGACGTCCTGACCTTTTTGCCTGAGGCTGCGGCGTGGTGCGTGCCTATGGCGTGGCAATCACCATCTATGAGGCCTGATATGAGTCGATGAGAAGCTCACATGGCTGTGGGTCATGGCACTTCTTGAGCCCCAAACTCACACCCAGGTAGGTGGACCGAAACCAGGTCGTCCATTCTGTTCATTTTCGGCGGGTTCCTCTAGGGTGTCGGCCACATGAGTTGATGAGGTGATTTTTTGTGGAAGAGTCTCCTACACCCACCAGAGAGTAAACACGAGAAAGCTCGTGCTGAAAGAATGACCTGGTTTTGCTGATCAAGTGATAACTTATTTTTTGTTCATGTTGCCTACCAGGACCTTCCCAGTGACCTTTTGAGATCCCAGAATGAGGTCACTTAGGCCTTGAAAAGGTCACTTACCAATCCTGAAGAGGTCACTGGGAAGGTCCAGGTATACGGTATATATGTTTAAGTTAAATCCCCCTTCTGGGGAGTAAGAAGAAGCGGGGGCTTCAAGTGGTGCCGTCATTTGCCCCGTCGACTTCTTCCTTCAGAATGTGAGGGCTCCTTCAAAGCAAATTGGTCCTTCTAGGTATCCAGACATGAGGATGCCTGTGCTACGCGTGACCCAAAAAGACACCAAGTGACTGCGGGACAGAGTCTTCAAGAAGAGGACTGGGTGGGTATTATCTCTATACCTCCAGTCGTACCTCCTCAGGTTCGGTATGACTGGACCCGACCAGGGCACCCACCCCAGTCCCACCTGGAGGCCTAGGGTCTATGGGGATGGCCCACCATGGCCCACCCCACCCACCACCCGACTAGTGCACCACCGTGTAGCGAAGGATTCTTTCCTTCGTAGGTCCGTCTCCGGCAGTACCATGACCTGGTCTACCAGCAGTTCCATGGTCTCCGGGTGCTTCATGCAGGATATCGGGGATGGGGACGGGGTGTCCGACAGTGGGTGTCCGACAGTCACATTTCCACTCACGGACCGAGCGGATGGGGTCTTAACACCCCACTCAACCACCAAACTCGATGAAACCGGTCTGACATGGTCTGACCCACTGTCATACCCATGGAGATGTCTTTGTTTGGTGACCTGGTGCGGATGTCTTTGTCATACCCATGGCGTTTCGGAGGCCTTGTCGTTGAACCAGATGGTGGTGCCCTTGAGCCTCAGCAGCTTGACGGCCGCCGCTTGGAGGACGATCCGAATGGGCGATCGGCATGATGGAGCGGATGGATGGGGGAGGGAAGCATCATGGAGATGTTGCGTTTTAACATTAATAACTAGAACCATTCTTCAAATCTACAACTAATATACATCAACACACAGCGCGGTCCGCCGAAAAAGGACCTTCTCATCCACGGACGTTGCAAAACTGTGTGTTCTGGTCAACCTTGGTGCTGTGGGTGGGTATTTGGGTGTGTGAAGCAGAAACGCCCTCATTGAAAGAGTCATCTGACTCAAATGATTTGTTGAAAGGTCTTCGTGGCGCACTGAAGGTCTTCGTGGCAGACTACATCTCTTTGCCTTTCTTCGATACCGCCTTGGCCGCACGGAGAATAGCTAATGAACTGGACGAGTGGAACTGGACTGTCCCAGGCAACCCGTGGCACTTTGTAAACAAAACCCTAGGCCTCCAGTCGTACCTCCTCAGAAGGTATGACTAGACCCTCCTGGCACCCACCCCAAACACCTTCTCAGAAGGTACGACTGGAGGCCTAGGGATACAATTTTTGTGTGATAGATATTGATAGATTCATATTCAATAGATTGGTCAAGTGAAAAGTGCCAAGTGCTAGGAGGCACCCAGTTGCTGCGACAGTACGGTTGGTTTCAACGGGTGGTCCCTCACCTATGCTCACCTGCTAACTTCAGTCCTAGGTCTTAGTTCCCATGGCATTTTCATACTCCATACCTGGGCCCGATTTCGACATGAACTCATGAAAAGCAGGTACTTGTACTCAATTTCCGAGGTACACTACTGCCGGTGATGTCTTCGACACTTTTACATAGGTGCCAGGGTCGGGTCCAGTCATACCGAACCGTTTCGAAGGTGGATGTGGATCTTTGGCCTACCCGGGCCTACCCAAACGCTCCATGTCCTGGTCCCAAATCCTAAGAAGGTAGTTGGACCTCCCAACCCCCCAACCACCTCCACAGGGCCTATCATTGACCCCTGATGGCCCGCGCATAGATGCCACCTCTGTGCGGCTGTGGGCGCAGACTCGAACGGCTAAGGTCCGCAAGGGTTGGCATGGTGTCAGCAAGCTCACCTGTACCGCCCACGGAGAGGCAGGCCAGCATGGCGCGTCTTCGGGCGCGTCTTCGCCGCGCTGCGGAGCACTCCAGTGATGAGGTTCCCATCATTTTTGCCATATTGAAGGGATTCATCTTCCCATTCCTGGTATTTCCTGGTCATTTCCCAATATCTTTCCGGTGCCTGGGTGAATCCCATTGAATCCCTGGTGAAGATGTTGCTTCCCGGCGATGGATCCGGGTCCTCCGAACACGTCAAGGGTAGTGACCAGATGGGCTGGTTGTGCAAGCCGATCTGATTGGATCTGATTCATGGTTGTGAACAAAGCGATGTTCAGCCAAGATTGCTTGTCTTCCAAAGAGGTTTTGGAGGCTCAAGGTGTTCCTTTGGTTTGAATACTTTGTACCAGGTAGTTCTTCCCCTTACGCCATACAACTACCACCGCCGGTGTGCCCACACGGTCCGGTGTGGTCCACCGGTCCCTTCAACGACTCGGCGCCGCAGGAGCCAGCCTTTGTGGTCATGGAGCATGCATCCGACTTTCCAATCCTGCCCAACACTGCCAGGAGACCGGGACCTCGGTTTGTTGGAATTGTATTGATTTGTTTTGTGTTTTCTCTCGGATAGTTGAGAGTTGAGTGTTGTGATGTGTTCTTGGTTCTTCTCTCAGAGAGGATTTGAGACTCTTGCCTTTTTGGACGAATGGTGGATCCGCTTTCAGTCTCAAGTCTAGTCCAGTGAAGTTCAGCTAACGCTCCAGCAGGTTTTCCAGATATAGGACTATAACTATAACTCCGTTTCCCAAGTCCAGCTAATCACTGTGGTATACTGTGGTCATAAGTGGTGTATGTCTTTATTCTGAGAACCGTACCCTGTGGTCCATGGACCTGACCTTGTGTTTGACTTCCCGTTACACCATGTTACACCCCTTGCCTTGGAAACCTTGCAAACCTTTACCTTGGCGCCACCCGAAGATATATGTTTGCTATGACACAAATACACTTTAAATACACTTCACTGCATGGTTTTTGATATGAAACTTCTCAGCCACCTTCAACCTGCCTTTGAAAGAGGCGCCTCTGGACTGGGGTCCGTTCACCGCCCCGTTCGACGCATCGAGGCTGTCAGATCTTCAACGGGCGCTGGACGCGCAACCGCTGCAGTTCCACTTCCCCATCGTCGAGGAGGTGAACGGGATGGGGATCCTTTCCTCCGAATGCCCGGGGTTTGGGCAGTGGAGATGAGTGGATCACCTGGCAAAATCACCGCCGTTTGGGTATTTGGCTATTTGGCTTCTCCATGTTTCTCCACTCAACAATACGGCGCATGTTGTTTTCCTTTTTTTGCGGTGTGACTTTGAAAAGGGAAACGACTGAAGGGGGTCAGGATCTTGGGTCGAGCTTGGCGGGTTGGACCGGGTTTGGATGCATGTTCAGTTGCAGGTACCTGGACCCGACTTCAAGTACCTGAGAAAATGGGACATGACCCTATAGCTCAAACATATTCCAAAGGGCGTTGAGAGTTCAGGTATGTTGGGTTTGGTGTTTACATGGAGTTTACTCGGCGTCGCCTCAAATGGGTGGAATATGGTGGAATGGATGGCGCGGCGCTTCTGCAACTCGTGGATGGACTGTGGACTGTTGGTTCGCGTTGTTTGTGACATGTTTGTGTGCGTGTGTGTTCAACATCCTAGTTAATATTATTAATGGCAATGAGCTTGAGTTGTTTCTGTGATATTTTCCTAAGTGATATGCAACTGCCAGAAAGAAGCCCTGTTGGGATTTTTGTAGCAGTCCACTGAAAATGGCGTGGCTTTTGCATGTGTTTCCAATACTGCTGCTAGGAGATGTGTGCAGAACACCAAGACTTTAACTTTAGCCTAGCTGGAAGTTTTGAGGACGTGTTGAGGCATCAGCAGTGCAAAAGGACAGCGAAGGACTTCGCTTGCCTCCCATGCCGACGAGCAGAACGAAACCTGCCATAGCTTCACTGATCTCCCTTGAATCAAATCTACCAAGCTACCCAGCTGGCGCTGGCGCTGGCGCTTGTGCAGTTAATACATCAGGTAAATGATCTTTCCTGGCATCTTCCGTTTTCTTAGTCTCGTTACCACAAAGCCAACCCTGTCACTTTCTCTATCAGACCCTGATCACCCTCCTCACCTCCAGGTACCCAACTCTCATGGCCGCCCACGGCTGCTGGGCGCGCTGAGCCGCGCCGCGGCGGAGGAGGCGCAGCGACGCCTCGTGCAGGAGCCGAGCGCTGGGGGCGCCGGTAGCGCCCGGTCGGTGGAACTCATGCGCCTGAGGTGGGGAGTGGGGGATGTGGAGCAGTGGGCAGCTGTGATGTGGCCTTCGTGACCGGATTTGGAGGGTGAGCTTTCTCGGATGTTGAGGCTGTTTGACATGGGGCTGTCGGAGGTGAATTGGTCCGAAAGTTTTTATTTGGTGACATTGGTGTTCATTTTGTACAGTATCCTTTTACTTTCTTTTCATTTTTGATATGATTGTTTGTGTTAACAGCCCAGCCCAACCCTTAAAGCCCGGAAGCTGCATGTAGTTACCGGCTCCTATATCCCACCGAGTAGTCGTACATAGGCTTGAGGCTCCAAACATACCTTCGTCCCTCAAAACCGGATTCAGGGTCTGGCCCCCAGCTGAACAGAGGGTCCGAACGGGTCGCGTTTATGACATCGAAAGATGATGGGTGTCATTGGGTGTCCAATCCATAGATGGCCTTTTACTATTAGTCAGTTGCTTAATAGAGGCCCCCAAACGTACAACCAATAGGTCAATGGTATCTGGCACTGACTCCATTCTTCTCAAGGTCGGACATCACTGGTCCAATTCGTTCTCACCACCGCATCCGCGCATCCGGAGGTGCTTCCACCGCATCCGCCAGCCGCATCCAGGTGGCCGGACGTGCCCTACGAGCCCTTGAGTGAGCTGCCGCTCACGGTGGACCCGCTGTTCACGGTGCAGGAGCTCTACATCACGCTCAAGGTGCGGACCGTGAGAAATGAGATCACTGGATGCAGATAGTGCGGAAGTGGCGAGAATGTTCATGTATGGTGCCCGTGCCCATGATGTTTGCCTCCACCATTGGGACGTGGTCCTTGATCAATCATCACCGCCAAGCGGATGGTTGAGGTGGTTGTAGGGAAACTTGGAGGGAGGTTGAGTCTTCTCAACAAGAGCAAGTGACCTCATCCGCCAAGACCATGTTGTTTGTGGTACAGTATACAGCCAGAAAGATAATATATCTAAAACTTTTGGGGCCCAATTGACAGAGAGAGAGGTAGATGGCAAGAAGACCACACAGACACAGCTATGCACCATGTACTGAGCGGGGAGACACGGTGATCCCGTAAACTGCCCTAGGGACCCATACCTCTCAGAAGGTACTGGGACCCTTCATGCCTATGAAGTGTCGAACACATGATCTTCTCAGAGGGTACGTGGATCTTCAGGGAGAAACCAAAGAATATCTTGGAGAACATGTAGACCACCCTAAGTGTTGGAGAATGGCAGAATGTCCCTCCGTGATTCACTCAGTGGAGAGGGAGACATGGTTACCATTAAACTCTGCATGAGTATTATATCCCTAGGCCTCCAAGTACCTCCTCAGAAGGTATGACTGGACCCTCCTGGCACCCGCCCCAGTCCCACCAAACCTCAGGTTCGGTATGACTGGAGGCCGAACGGGTACTCTGTATGAGTCTTATGGGGGTACCTTTACCTTCGCGGCACCCCCTTCTTAGGGCTGTCCCAACTCGCACGCGAAGGACTGGAACCAACTAACCGGATCCTGGTGCCATGAGCCACAGCCATGACTGGCGAGTTGGGATCCATAGTTAGCACTAATTCAGTGTTAGCACTATAGCTGGAAACTCATGCTAATTAAGTGGTTCCAAAGATTAACACTAAAGGTGGTGATTGGCATTGGGATCCACTGGGAAAGCATCTCCCCAAGCGGGTCGTCGTCAGATCTCTTCCACCCTGCAGATTTCCGGGCCCTCCAAGCAGTTGTTTCGGTTTCAATCTGATTCCTTTTTTCAGAGTTTTCAGTCCCCCTCAAAGAAATCATTATTATATATACTGATGTCGTGTGATGATGCTCGGCTTTGGAGCACCCCCAAAACCTTGGAGCACTCACGAGGTCGCACGTGGTATAGTGACTGTCCGGGTCCCACATCAGTCCCCTCCACCTTCTGTTCCGTCTCGCGCTCCAAAAAGAACGGAATCGATCTGAATCCATCCCCAGGTGGCCCGGAAAGAGGTGGCCTACATCACCGGTCACGGTGTCCTGCTGGGCCGCGTGGGCTTCAAGGAGCGAACCACAGCCGGACAGGTCGTGTGTACCTGAGGGGTTTGAGAAAATACGTCTGCCCTAGGCTGGCGAAAAGATCTGGAAAAGGCCAAGACATGCAAACTAAGTAACAAAACCATTTGCTCAGTGCTTTTGGGGGTTCCATGATTTCGTCAACCACTAATGACTCATACCAGAAACTATCAGAACACCCACAATACCTTAATTAGGCAAATGGTTGTGGACGATTGTAGCATATTGTAGCCTTGTTAGGACTCTCGACGGATGCCACTGAGATGGCGAGCCAGGTATATATACCAGAAGCATCCAGAAGCTTATGTGCATCCAATGTTACTACATCCTTAATGTGGGTGTGTAGTTTAATAGGGAGACCCCCTAGACCGCGGATCGCCCCTGGCTGGGTAGACTGGTCGATTTGTCCTTTCCCAATTGGGTTCGAACGGGGCTGGGTCTCCCTATGTGTTTAAATAAAGACACCTGTAATCGATTCTAATCGCCATATGAACCATTGTACGGCCTCTCCCTCTCTCTATTTCTGTGGTCTTCGTTTGGACGTGGGGACTGGTCGTCCGTTCTGGAACCTGGGAAACTGCATCCGGAAACCCTCTCAAGTCTTTAAGTTGGGATCGTTTCGGCAGGTGCAACTGCAGGGGTCCACGGTTCGGTCGTCCGCGGTTCCCAACTTCGGACTGAAGTCGGATGGCTTGAGGTTCGGGTTCCGCCCAGACTCACCAGGAGATCATTGGCGAAGGGATGCCAATCACCAAAGGGATCGGAGCCTTTCATGACAAGGAGCAGAGCCTTTCGTAGTCCGACACCATGCAAAAGATTTGCGACAGTCAGTCAAACAGATCGATCTGAGTTCGTTGATACTGTGCCTGAAGTCGACCTGTGAAAGTACCTTGGAAAATGAGTACAATTACAAGATAGTATACTTATACTGCTTGATTAAATATACCGTGTTTATATTGTTACCTTTTAATGAGGTCATGGCCTATGTTTTCGAGTGTACTTTGGAGGGTCCAGGTGAATGTTGTTGTGGACAAATGATGTTGTTTTCTGCGATGACCTGTTTGAGGTTGCTGGTATGCTTTTTGGGGTGGAGGGTCGTGTCGACTATTCCGCAAGAAAACAATATATATATATATATATATCCAATCCCCTATCGGATGAGGTATCACCCAGCAATTCATCTGCAAAATGTGGTTCGCTTCATTGAAAATACCATGAACTGCAAGATGTTTCCGTGTTACTCTAAGACTGGGGCATCCTCATTGATGCATTTATAGGATTCCATAGGAGCTTGGTTGGGGGGGCTTCGAGCGCGTCCGCAAATTGATGGTCAAGATAAGTTACTGTCTCTTCGTGAAAATTACACCCATCTCGATCACCAGTTGCATCCAGCCAGTGTGCACCTCCTGCAGTGCCTATGGTGCCAGGTTTGTTCATATAGAACAAAGACAAGTTTTCCCAAGGCAAGTAACAAAATTGGATCGTACCAAACAATCCATTAGCTGAATACGCGTTCGGTCTCACATAGGATGATTCGCAGTAAATTAGATGCTTATGCTTAAGGGAGGAATTTGTCATTTTATAAGTGTGAGGTCTTCCACTTTTGTTCCAATCAAGGTTGTACAGGTTACATATCCTACCCTTTCCTTTTCACTTTTACCTCCAGTACCCCACAAGTGGTGTTGGGCTGTTGGGGGGCGGGACAGTTCGCGCCCGCTGGTGTGGTGTGGTGGAGATTGTGGTGTGGTGGAGATTCCGGTTTGGACCGCACCGCTGATCCGGTCATACACTTCGGTTGTTGGATGTTTGTGATGTTCCGGCAGTGCTCCTCAGGAGGCCTTTAAGATGATCTACGAGCCCAACAGCCCGAGCAAACACGAGATTTGGGCTGGCCTTTGATGACACCATTGATCGATCCGCAAGAAATCTGGACGACATGGAGATGCTGGGAGGAGGCCAGTGTTTGGGGATGGGAACTGGAGTCGACAAGAGTTTGCTTCAAGAGATCAGCTTCTTCCACAGAAGGTAGGAAGCTGCAGCAGCCATGGAGTAGTACAAGTGGATTTGTCTCACCCCAAACGGAATCGCTGCAAGCACTTGCACCCAACCCTTTGTATGCACCAGGGATCGCCGAATCTCTCCGTTTCAGGCAGAATCCAAGCTGAAAGTTGTCGCTGTCGAGCTGACTCTTCTGCGGGAGACAGACCTTGGAGACTTGCGGCCAGCTTCTTCAGATTCAGTAGAGGCCAATGACCGGTTGAAGAAGTTTGATCCAGCCACCGAAGGCCCGCACAGGGCTGGCTGCGGAAGAAGAGCCCCACCCAAGAGCCCCCGCAGTGCCAGGAAACCCTGCACCTGCCACCCTATTCCACATGTTGTATCGGCGCCACTTCGGATGGGTCGTACAGAACTGTTTCCGGAAGAGACACGACCTGCACGGAACCGCGAGAAAAACCGCGGAAGCGCGGCTGGTGTCCAGACAGGTGCTGCGTGGGATCGGGATCGGAAGGATTCCTGGGTTGATTTCAGGGGTTCAAATCGGATTAGTACAGATTAGGCATTATAGACAAGACAAGCAGTTTCCCATGTGTTTTCCAAGGGTCTATTGGTCTTCTGGAATGCGAACGGGCCGGCTTCAGTCCAATCCTTGGGGTTTTGCGGAGCTTTTTTGAATGCAAAGAGGTGAGACAGGTGAGATAAGGAAAGTCATGTTAAGCGCCTTTGGTTTCCTTCACACTTGGTATTCCGTTTTACATCAATGAAGAAACCTGAAAGAACTAAGCTATAGCTGATCATGCACATCGTGCTAGAAATGCATTGGATATGCAGCCGGTGCTGCAGACGGTCTCGTGTTCCACAGGTACGCCACCCGCCGTGTCCGGGGCACTTGGACAGTCGTGCGCGACGTCGTTATTCGTTCGCTTTTGGACTGGTTCCGTGCTGTGTTTCCGTTCGGTGCCTGGTCCACTGGTGCCTTGCGGTGTCACAAGTCATGGGGTCAAAGTCCCTACCTTCTCATCCTTGGTCTTGCTTAGGGTCATGGTCATCGAAGTGTGTTGATCCCCGCAAAAATGGGAGCATCCCCACACCTGAGGACTATATGATACTATCTGTAATCTCTTCCCGGTTGGAGCTGATGTGGAGATCTCAGGTCCCAACCGGCTCGCCGTCATCCACAGACGACCAACATGCACCAGCAAAAAAGCATGGCAGTCAAAGACCTCACAGAAATGGTGACCTCAACACACCCCACTAATACGACCTCGGTCCGACCTGCGCCACCATGGATCCGGATGTCAAGACCTCACCTGGAGTGATCCAGTTGTACCGCACCTGAGGGTCGGGTGGATCGGTATCCCGGACGGTGGGCGAGGTGGGAGAGGTGAGGTGGGTTTCAGCTGAGGTCACGGACCAAAGTTTGAAGCACACCTTGGAATTTGGCATCGGGATCCACCATGCCGGTTTGCCCGAAAGGGATCGGAAGGCAGGGCATTCGTTCTTCAATTTTGTTGCATTGCGTGTGGGAGGGGCTGGGTTCAGCAGCGAAGAAGGAGAAGAGGGGAACCAATTTTGGTTTCTGATCAGTTTGATATGCTGGTGCAAACGTGGGGCAGCATTTTAACACGTGCCGTTCTATAGCGCCTGTTTTGCTGTTTGGCACGCCTGACTTGGAGGTTTCTTCAGCAGGGCAACATATGTGTGTTTCCATCGGCTGCTGGTTGTTCTCATGACATTTCCGGGCAGGCTTTTGGGTCCAGACCCAAACTACATGTAGTTCACTTTGGGGTCTCCAATCTGGTCTTTACAGGGGACCGACCTACGCGTTAGCTAAGCCAGCCTGTGCCAGCCACCCTGCTGTGGAGGTGGTGGAGGAACTCTTTGTCGAGTCAAAGATTATGGTGCCTGGGCCTGGCGGGTGGCGCCCGGACACCGGACACCAGGCACCTACCGTGGACTGGGCAGCCCTCAGCGTCACGACCCCTCCCCGGTATGTGCTGGTGCGTGTAGACTGCCATGCAGCTGCCAGTCCCAGACACTCCATGTATGCCATATATGCCTACATTGGGGTGGTTTTGGGGGTCAATGTAGGCATATATGGCATACATGGAGTGTCTGGGAGTCTGTCACGACCAGTCTGTCAGCTGTCCGTTGCATCGGTGACGTCACAAGCCAACTTTCACCCCATGAGTGTAGGCCCCATCGTATTCACCAGGTGAGCAGCGTGTTGCGCCACTATCGGGTGATAGCTGGATATTGCTGGAGATTGCATCAATCCCAACCCGTCATGTTGAGCCTATCCAGTGCAACATTTGGGTTGTGCCTAATCAACTGTGCCTCAAAAGGGGCTCAACAAATGAATGTATACATCTGATGAATCTCTTTTGGATGCCCGAAATCAAGCAGGTCATTGGTGAGCCCCCCCTGTTTGAAGACAATTCGACACGAAATGGCGGAGGGGAAACCAACCCAATGTTTGCAACCACAACAAAATCCAAGTTTTAACCCAATTGCCAACCCAAGTGTTTTTTCCTTACTATGGCCTGCCAGGAGGTTCATGAACCCTTTGACAATCTTCGACATACCATGAGTCTTTGTTCCCACCATTCTCCCAGTGTAGCCGATCCACTGAGGTGTTGATTTCCACGTCCACGTTGGCCTGGGGTGTCAACTTCCCGGCTCACCTGGTACATTGGTGGCACCTACTTGAGCAGGATTCGATGGATGGACTGGGGAAGGGGTCCCTGGAAGTTTGCAGTGGTCTAGGGCGGCATAAGGCCGCTGTTTTTTCCCTTTGGGCCTTTTGCTTTTGGAATCAGCATGAGTGAAGTTTGGTCAATATGGCATACATACAAGTTGCTGTCAGGTCCTGGCTGTGGTTTTCCTAGGACCTTTCCTACATCCGAGCATCATGTATGACACAGAGGATGTGATCTCTCAAGCCAGGTTGGCCTCACTTTGAGCTAGGCCAAAGCCCCTTCATCAGGAACCAAGGTTTCTCAGGCCAGCCTTTCGCAGGCAGCCAGTTTTCAACTATATAAGGCACCCACTAGATCATATAGTCTTTGGACCCCCTGGTTACCACAGAGTTACTGATGTTTTGGTTCGCGATGTCCAAAGTCGCAACGTGGCACATGGGTCCACTTGAAGAATCCGATTCCCCCTTCTTGGCGAACTCAGTGGGAAAATCATGTAAAATCCAAACCGAGTAGCGGAATTATAGGGGAAAACACACCCTGCCCTGCCCAAGCATTTTTGCAGCGTCCGAGGTCATCATCAAGGGCACAGAGTACTATGATGGGCAGTTGAAGAGATATGTGGCTGAGACGACGCATGCGACGCGCATCTCCGTGCATCGCTACCAGTAGTGTTAAATGTTGACTGGGATCCTACTGCCGCAGGCATTCAATTTGTGTGACTAGATCTCCAGACCAAACACCCATTGGATGGATGTTTTGGTATCTTCAGGTCCTACGCAGTCAGTGGATAGCCTGCAACCTTTCTCGGTTATTGGGTTCCCCACTAAACAAGAACGAGTGGAAGATGGTGAACCTTCATTTTCCAACTGATGGAGTCAGGAAAACACGTGACATGTTGGCAGCAATTAGTCCCAAGCAGCTATGTCACATTCCACCCACACAGAAATGTTTCCATCATCCAACCAGTCATGTTTGCATTGAACCATACTCATGTCCAAGTCCTTGCACCGTTCTTTAGCCACAGCCAGGCTTCATCGGTTCCTGCCCCTTCCGTGACCGTGGCGGTAACCGGATCCAGGTGGACTTCCCCATCACCGACGTGCTGCAGATGATGGGCCGTGCCGGGCGACCGCAGTTCGATACCGAGGCACGGGCAGTGGTCATGGTTCATGAGCCACTTGGCAGGGATGGAGGGGTGAGGAAGGTCCATGGAGGGGTGAAGACTGGCCCGTCCCAGAGATTCCCAGAGTGAGTCCGATAGCTCATGGAGCATCCAAGAAAAGCGGGGGCACATCACATCCCACTGGAATTGATCACCTCGTGTTCTGCAAAGACTCCAGGAACATCATGTACCCCCTATAGACATTCGATGGACCTGACACAACTCCGATCCACTCCGCTTCAAAGCTGCAGACTGCCTAAGGCCAAAGAAGAACTTCTACCGCAGCTGCTGGGCTTAACCCTTCGCGCCGCATGAGACGTGGACACGGTCAAGGTCGGAGCTCCGGTTCGGCAGTGATTCTTGTTCTGGTCGGGAAGCTCTTCGCTCCAAAGACTTAATTCTTAAGGCATTTACATGCCCCTTTTTGCAATCGACATGTTCTTAACACAAAGTATCAAACCACAGCCGGATCCTAACCTGCCTGGTGCGCGAACCAGATGGTGCCCTGGACATCGAAGAGTCGCTGGACTCGGTGCGCGAACCCCGTTTGGCGCGCGGGCGTTCAGCTGATCCGATGGTTTGGCCGCGAGCGCTCAAGGCTTCATGTACGAGCCCTTCCCGGTGGAATCATCACTCCATGAGCAGCTCACCGATCATCTGAATGCCGAGATTGTGGCCAAGACCATCAGGCAATCCGCTTAACTTGGGCGGGCCGGGAGGGGGTGGATGAATTGAAGTCCTAACCTGCAGTTTCTGAGACGCCCGCGGTTGAAGATTGAATGGGATGTCCATGGTCCCACGTTCACGTGCTTTGGAAATCCCCTCTATAGAGTCTATAGAGGATTTCCACTCATCCACGGGCTCATAGCTGCTCCTAGCTGCTCCTGTACTTACAGTACCGTGACCCCTCGAAGCATCTAGGTACTGTATCGAGCTACTCGGCTGTTTCGCCTCTTCGAGTGATGTTTGGCACTTGGGTGTCTCGCGACCTCAGGACACGGGAGGAGGCGATTGACTATGTGACCTGGACCGGGCCTCGAAGCGTTCCTTCGTCGCGGAGACGCTGGAGACGACGTGGGCGAAGAGGGTCGCAAGAGTGACTGGTGGTGGTGTTGGAATGTATTTGGACCTAAGCTATCAGAAAGTGTAGCTCAAAGAGCAGCCAAAAGGATCCAAAAGGACTAAGAGAAGCACCAGCAGTTGTAGACTGGTGCAGGGTGGAGTGCCTCTATAGTCGGTGAACCAGCTGGTGTGTGTGTGTGTGTCTACTGAGTTTTTTGTTCGTGAAATGGGAGAGTGTCAAGCTTGTTAAGCCTTTTGGACTTGTCGGGAGAGATCCTTCTTTGCTTTTCACAAAGAGACACTTTGATGGAGTGTTGCAGCTGTATTCAAGCACTATGGCACTTCGGTCCCAGTGCAGCTGATGTGTGTGACAGGAGCATGCCCTTTAGATCTCTTTAGTAAGACTGACAGCACTTACTCTAGAAGTTATTTCTCTTAGAAGGGGAGAAGACGGTAGGGTTCTTCGCACCAGCGAGAGCTGTTGAGCTCAGCACCAGCAGCCATAGCAACATGATAGAATTCCCGATTTCAGGGTCCTATATACATCACCCCCTTGGCTGTTGAGGCCATACCCCGAGTCGACTAGGTATGATGTTACATCTTATAAACTATACTGCTAGGTGAAGATGATGCTAACGGCCATGATGCTATATGTTTTATGGCCATGATATGTTTTTAGATGTTGAGACTTAGTCGGTCTAGACTCCCAAGACATTCACCACTCCGGTGGCTCTCCAGGCCTTCTGAACCCGACCTTGTTGTCCCAATTCTCGAGGGTCCACATGGGCCTGTATTTTTCATAGGGAGACCCCCGATCGCCCCAAGGGGTAGACTGGTCCGTTTTCCTTGTTCCTGGGAGGTGTATACTATTCCCTAGGACTCCAAGTACCATCCTCAGAAGGTATTTGGACCCTCCAAACCTACACAACAGTGTCGAACACATCACGGTATGCGGATCCCCAAAAAGGGTTCGGACAGATACACCGCCCACCTCCAGCCGTTCAACCGTTCGGGACAGCCGTATCGCGGTGGGTGGAGGACCTACTTCTTCCGACGGCTCACAGCAAACCCTGCCTACTATGACCAGCAGCGACAGCCCAGTCAACGACAGATGGTATGGCCTGAGAGAGTTGAGGAACTAAGATACATTGGTTAGTCTATTGCATTGACCATGTATCTTATGTGTGAGATTTTCGTTTGACCTACGAATGAACTTGCATGATATGATGTTTTTAGATTTAGAATTTAGATAGTTTTTGAGATGTGTTTGTCCAACTGCCCCTGGCTGTTGGGCTTTGTTTGCAACATTGGTGTCAAAGCTGACTCGGTTGTACCCACAGCTTCTGCAAAGTGTTCCTACAGAACCCTATCAAGTTTTGATTTTGGAACTCTCATCGGCAGCTGGCTTTTCCAGGCGCTATGTCCTGACTTGATGATAATATTGTCGTTGTTGCTGTTGTTGTTGTTCTTCTTCTTCTTCTTGTTCTTGTTTTTGTTCTTGTTGCATGTCTTTCTTGTCCTTTCCCAGATGCCTTCGGCATGAAGCCGCCGCCCGGGTTGTCCTGTCCGGTACTTCAGTGTACCTCAGTGTACTATGACTATGACTCATATAGGAACCCATTAGATCCAGTACGTCCGACCGGGGAAGGATCGTCGGGTCTGCAATTCGTGGTTTCGTCCGAAGTGGTTTGGACCGACCTCCAAATCCCCAAAGACCCATGACCGACCTCCAGAAAGAACACATCCGCTTTGTTGGAGCTCTAAAACCACCCATAACGACGATCGCAAATGGCTTGGGTCGGAAGTGGTTTGGAGCGACCTCCAAATGGCCCAAATGGCCCATGTAGGATGTTCAGGTTGAAGGATGTTGAAGGATGTTTTCGCTCATTTTGGAGCTGATCTGCTTCGGACCATCGGATGTGCAGAACCGGCCTTAACCACCGAGTTAACTCGGACCGCGCTTGCCGAGGCAGGCCGCTTTGTTGGAGACACCGGACTTTGAGAAGCAGAAGGCGGGTCTCTGAAGTCGACCCCTACAGCCTTCAAAAGCCCAGCAAGTTCCCTGAAAAAAGCAAAGGAAGATATCTTGTCTACAATGGATCCCTGAAATCAACATGTTAGAGCCACCCAATTATAGGCTAAAAATGCCAGTTCCATGAAGTGTCGAGTTCTTTTAAACCTCCCCCTTTGCAGAAGAGGGCGACATTAGTGTTTGGAAGAAGGTATTTCATCATGGTGCTTACAGTTCTATAATGTTGATGCTTTGTCCGAACTCGTTTACTTCGTCTCACTTTCTTCAGACCTCGAAACTTTCCACCACACAGAACTGGTGGACTCGACTTCTAGTGTTATTATTCTCAAAGTATTGCTCGGAGTCCTCAAAAAACGGAACTCCGATCGGAAAACCCTGGTTTCCCTGCTTTTGTGAGACAAGAAATTCCACCAGCAATATAATAGAAGCATGAACACAAACATGGACACATATATCAAAGTCAAGGCGTATTTACAAACTGATCTGGATAGATTTGGATAGATGCATCCATTTCTGTAGCTTTTTTGTTCAGGATATGTTAGCCAACTACATCGAGCGATTGATGAACAAATGCCTCGACGAGTTGATCCGCTCCGGTTGCATTGAGCTGAAAGAAGCTCCTCAAGGCGTGTGGAGGATGCCGTGTGGAGGATGCGGAGGGTGTTTCAGCCATCGCGCATGGGGAAGGAATGGGGAAGGAACACGGGAAGAGGATGGCCCTATATTACAGGTTTGCCGATCTAGCCTTTTGTGTTTGATTAGAGTAATAGTTTTATACGGGTCCTTCGAAACTGTTTTGTGTAGGATACTAGCTATCCTAAGCTAAAATATGATGAACTGGTGTGATTCCAAAGAGCTAAAGCCACGAGACGCTGTGGCACATCTCCATCCAAAATCGTCGGGGGTTGCGCCATTTGTGTTCGACTTTGAACCCACTTAGCTTCTTGGCCGCATCCTCAGAAAAGACCCCCCAACACACACACACACACACCAAACACCTTCGAAACGGAAGCACCTGATGCCCCAGCAGGGATAGTACTCTTCACGTGAATTGTACCCCAGACATCAGTGCTGCTATGACCCCAACATGCACAAGGCGTCGCCAAAACCTGGTGCCGTGGGGGAGGATACATACCTAGAACCCAGACATGACCTCTATTTGGAGGGGAAAAAGACATAAATAATGTTGTGGCTCCCCAACAGGGGTCACTCGGATTCTATAGGTAAGAATCTCCGATACCATCACGCATCATTCTGGTCACTCAACAAGATTTGCTTCTAAGTGACTGGTGTTGCTACGCATTGCTACGCATTCTGTGTCTCGCTGCATGAAGAAAAAGACACGACCGCGCGACGCTCGTGACTGTTGTGCGAGAAATACTGCTCGTGACTCGTGACCGAGTGACTTGCGTATGGAGCAGTTGGCGTATGGAGCTATTTCTAGGGTTACTCAGCAGAAAGCTGATCTATGGCCTTCACCTATCCATCCGGTGGATCTCCAGAGTTCCGAAATCGACATTCGAAGCCTTTGAGGCTGTATCCATCCATCCATTCGCTCTCCCTCACTCACCATTCTCTCCCTCACTCACCATAATTCATCTATCCATTCGCTCTCCCTCACCCCCACATGATCCCCCTGTCCAAATCCTTCCATTTCACATGATCCGACCGACCGACCGATACCAGGCCAGAGCGCCTTGGTCGAGCCGACGAAGATCGGCCGCATCGCCTCGTTGTACTACTTGAGCCACCGCACGGTGGCACAGTGCCCTGGCGTGAAGCCACAGGAAGGGGCTTTCTATGGTTTTTCTTCATGTTTAAAAAGAGGAGAGGTGATGGTGCAGGGTTCTGTGTGGCCTTTGAGTGTCTCAGGTGTGTTTGGTATCTTCTTTACTTCAGCTAACTGTGTTGATTGTAGTCCTTGAAGATGCTGGGAATTGGACAAGTGAAAAGCAAGCTGCAAACAATTTGATTGAATTCTTTAGTACGACCATCACACTCGCTTTGCCGATGTGAACTAATACGTTCTCAGAACCAAATCCAGGTGGATTGCTCAAGCCACAACGCTAAGAGGCTTCGAAGATCCCTCCTTCAGTCAGTGGGATGTATGTGGATCGATCCAGGTGTCGACAAGGCAGACGCACGACATGTTCCAAGATGAAGGCTCTTGAACACTTGGCAGTTCAACACATGTTCCTGGACCTGACTTCAAGTACCTTCAAGACCCTATATACAGTTCACTGTACCCAATGTTCCGAGGTACTTAATTTCTGAGACTTCAGATTCAGAAGGTTGCTCGCTCTTTGTACTCTGCGATGCACCAAAAAGACCAGCCGTATAGAGCTGTATGTGATCCTTGTTGTGTACAATCCAGAATCGACTCCCGCTTTTGTGGGTTCATTTCCGTGTTTCTCCCGCAGAATGTGAGTTTCTTCGACCCAGGTTCCAGCGGACCTTGGCGCGGGAGGGGATGAGCTTTGTGGAGATCATGCGAGTGCTTTGCGAGTGCCGCCCCGATGACAAACCGGGAGTTGTCCGTCCATCATGGGATGCCTTGAGGAAGATCGCGTCTTTGTTGGCGCTTTCCGGTGGAAAACCGCTTCGGTATCCCCTCCGGGAACCAGGGGAACCATTTGGAATTCAAGTGGAACTGGAAGGTTGGTGAACCAACGGAATTCAACGAATCCGGAATCCATCCGGAATCCATCCGGAATCCACCGAGAAACGAATCGGTAGACTCGGTGGACTCTTGATGACTGTACACTGATGCTGTTGATGGTCTTCGCGAACACATCGGTCTTCTCCTCAGTTTGGGTGATCAACCTATGAAGCTAGTAGAAACAAGTGCTTCGCTTCTAGTAACAAGTGCCTTACTAGTACACTCCGCTGCTGGTTCATGAACATACATCCAATATATTCCTTATATAGAAATATCACACTGCCACTCCCTTCGTGTGTGTGTGGACCGTTTCACAAGATCATACGCCACTTGAACATTTGTTCAGTTCTCGCAAAACTTGATGGATGATAAAAACCCATGCATATATAATATATAGTGTGTGCGTTTTGTCCTTAAAGTATTCTTCTTTTCCAGCTGTCATGTTCTCCTTGACCTACTTTCGCAGATGTACACTACTCATTCCACCGGCAGCTGAGCTGCCTGCCGCTCGACGCATGAGGCCCGGAGTATGACGAGTTGCCCGTGCGGCACAACGAGGACAAGCTCAACGCGGAGTTCGCAGAGCATTGTCCGTTGGAGGCGACGCCCGCGTGGAGTCGACCCGCGTGGCGACCCGGGTGGAGTAGCTCGGAAAGTGTGTACACGATTGGTACAAGCTAAGATGGTACAAGTACTTGTTTTTTATAAGGGTCATGTCCCATGTTCCAAAGTACTTAAAGTCGGGTCTAGGTATTTATATGATAGTTTGGATGTTCACGTTAGAGATTCGTTACTCAAGGGGAGTCCCAAGTTGGGTTGGCTGGTTCAGCACCGAAGATGGCTCTCTTTTGTAATTATGATTTATGATGGAGTCGCAGCACTAGAACCAGCTGGTCCCTCCACATCCGCCCCAGCTGAGTGTAGAGCTAACTTCCAAAAGTTTTGGGGATGCAGGATTCAAAGCTTGGACCACACCAAGAATCCTTGGACCCAGTCATCGTACCTGTTTTTTGTTCGGGTCATGTCCCACGATTGTAAGTCGGGTGCAGCCCACTTCGTTGCCCCAAACCGAAAAGAAAGACGATCTCATCCCAGCGCCGCGCCCAAAAACCCGGTCGCGGCACGTCAGGTGGACCTGGCGATCCAAGCTTATGATAGTCCACACACCAAGGCCTTCCTCCTGCTACAGGCGGAGAGCTTGGGAGAAAATTCCATGGGAGGGACTGGCAGGGTCGGAGGATGGAGGATCCTTTTGGGGTAGTTGCATGGTTTCTCAAGCTGGCACCGGCCAGAGTCTGTTCCAAACTTTGATAGGGAAAGATCCGCAGACATGGGAAAACCTGGATAATCTCGCCCCACTGCTATAGAATCCTTAAGTGATCAGAAGAACTCCAGCCTGGTACTTGAGAAGATCCCTTTTGCCAGTTGAGATGTGGAGTCGGGTGTTTGACATGTGGCTGCAGGTCTCTAATTCAATTACTTCTGATCCGCATGGGTCCCAACTCGTCAATCACTGTGCGACTGCCCCACAAGGCCATGACCCATAGATGATTGTAGCGGAAACCACTGATATACTTGACATTTGGTTGACCATCACGTTTTTTGCTCATAGAAGCTCCATCCTCGGATTGCCAGTGGTATTCAGAAGCATCAACCTTCCTGCTCTTCCCATCCAGGCTCTTCTTGTTGCTTGCCTGTTCCAGGCGCACATGTGGGGCATCGCTCTTCCCATCAACGACTACAAGACTGATTTGAAGTGCCTCGGACGAAGAAGGGATCTGGCTGGCAGATGAAGCAGAAGGTTTTCGTTGGAGTCGAAGCAGATGAAGAGATGACGGGCAGTGTAAGCAGAGAAAGGACGGCTGCACCCAAAAACCGGCCAGCCAGACTGGAGGAAACCACTTCATCGAGACCGCATGTGTACAGGCAAACCTCTGTTGACCCTTGGAAGGAGTTGCTTCAGGCTTCAGGGGTTGGCATGTTCCAGTCTGCCTCGCTTTGATTCCAACGCCACATTCACTGCCATCTTCTCCGTCTTCGCCGTCCGCGCCCAATACTCGCCACTCCACGCCGTTCCTCGCCACTCGCGGCCATCCACGCGCCACTCCCGACAAGAACGGAACAGCTGAGGACGGTGTTGGATCGATCCATTCCTCTCATCATGGCCATGGTGGACATCGCTGCGGAGGAGGTCCGGGTCGAGCGGGTCGAGGGAGTGCACCGTGATCCAGCTCCAGGTCCGAAAAGGGAAGCAAAAGCTAATAAGCTGTCACAGACACTCAGACAGGAAAAGCGCCTTCAAGAGTTGTGGAGGAATCTGACCGGCTTGCTGGGTGAGATGTTCAAACCCTTACAGGTACTATAGATATAAATATGGAATATGGTCCAATATGGTCCTACATTGGGATGACTTTAAGATGTTTAAGGATCAATGTAGGTACTCTCCCTATGGATCCACATCACTTCTCAGAAGGTACTCTCCCTAAGGCTTCCATAGGGTCCAGTCTTACCTTCTGAGAAGGAGGTGCCAGTGGATCCGTAGGGTCTACTCTTCGACTCAGGGGGGACCCTGGTGACCCTGGCTGCGGATCAGCTGCGAGTCCGCTGGGGCCGTGCGAAGGCTCAACTCCGGTCCACCTTGAACCTGATCTTATTGCTGCAGTGCTTGCACCAGGCGCCAGCCTGGGTGAGGGCGCGTCTCAAGACTCAGACGAAGACTCAGACGAAGCACCTGAGGACTCTAAAGTCAAGTCCTGGAAGCGAACTGTGTTTGGATGTGGGGCGTTGAATTGCCTTGCAAGTCAACAGATTATAGAAAAAGTATTTGTGAATATCTTATAGTATAGAGAAGTACAAGTTTCTCGCTGGTGACCTTTTGAAGTCTCAGATTGAGGTCAAGCAAAAGGGTTCGTGAAGGGAGCTGATGCAGTCATCCATCAATGAACTAGACCTTTTGAGGTTGAAGAATCCCCTGTGGCCAGTCCATATACCTCTTTTGGATCCGAGTGATGCCTCAGACGACGGCCTCGGCCAAAACATCGACGCTATAGGCTCATCAGCCCTGGCGCAGCTCGTTGGCCACACTTCCTCACTTGTGATGGCCCAAGCGAGGGAGTGTTGGAGGGTCCAACCCCCAGGCAAGCGAGAGCTGCAGGAAGCGAGACCGGTTTCGACTGGAGTTGCCGTGAATCTTGGTGGATCAATATACCTCCCAAAAAAGGGATCCAGTCGTACCGAACCTCAGGTTACGTGATTGGGAGACTGGCGCCAGGAGACGACCAGTCGTACCGAACCTGAGGTTCGGTGCCAGTGGATCCTTAGGGCCTGACCGGGCCTGACCCGTGAGTTGGTAATGACCTTGGAACATGCCCTAGGGATCCAAGTACCTTCTCAGAAGGCACTTGGACCCTCCAAACCCACCCCAAACACCTTCTGAGAAGGTACTTGGATCCCTAGGGATGAGTAGAGGGCACCGTCCGGGGTCCGATCGATGGTCGTGGCTGTCGTTGGTCATAGGTCGATATCCTTCTGCTTCGATGGCCCTTTGATCCGTTCTTTCGAAAAAAAAAAAAAAAAAACAAGATGGAGCCCACGAACCCGAATGCAAACACGTTCGAAAAGCTACATATGTCCAAATGACACTCTTGTAGGACACTCTTGTGGGACACTCTTGTAGGAAACTCTTGTGGGACACTCTTACGGGACACTCTTGTGGGACACTCTAGTAGGAAACTCTTGTAGGAAGCTCTTGTGGGACGCTCTTGTAGGACACTCTTGTGGGACACTGTTGCGGGACACTCTTGTGGGACACTCTTAAGGGACACTGTTGCGGGACACTCTTGTGGGACACTCTTGTGGGACACTCTTGTGGGACACTCTTGTGGGACACTCTTCTAAAACACTCTTGTAGGAAACTCTTGTGGGACACTCTTGTGGGACACTCTTGTGGGACACTGTTGCGTGACACTCTTGCAGGACACTCTTAAGGGACGCTCTTGTGAGACACTCTTGCGGGACACTGTTGCGCGACACTCTTGTGGGACACTCCTGTGGGACACTCATTTGGGACACTCTTGCGGGACACTCTTGTGGGACACTCTTGTGGGACACTCTTAAGGGACACTCTTGTGAGACACTCTTGCGGGACACTGTTGCGGGACACTCTTGTGGGACACTCCTGTGGGACACTCATTTGGGACACTCTTGCGGGACACTCTTGTGGGACACTCTTGTAGGACACTCTTGTGGGACACTCTTGTGAGACACTATTGTGGGACACTCTTGTAGGACACTCTTAGAAGACACTCTTGTGGGACATTCTTGTAGGGCACTCTTGTAGGACACTCTTGTGGGACACTATTGTGGGACACTCTTGTAGGACACTCTTGTGAGACACTATTGTAGGACACTCTTGTGGGACACTCTTGTGAGACACTCTTGTGGGACACTCTTGTGGGACACTCTTGTGAGACACTCTTGTGGGACACTCTTGTGGGACACTCTTATAGGACACTCTTGTAGGAAACTCTTGTGGGACACTCTCGTAGGACACTCTTGTAGGAAACTCTTGTGGGACACTCTTGTAGGACACTCTTGTGGGACACTCTTCTGGGAT